AGTGCACTACACTCTCTACTCTCTGTTAGTTCACTACACTCTACTCTCTGTTAGTTCACTACACTCTACTCTCTGTTAGTGCACTACACTCTCTACTCTCTGTTAGTTCACTACACTCTCTACTCTCTGTTAGTGCACTTCACTCTCTACTCTCTGTTAGTGCACTTCACTCTCTACTCTCTGTTAGTGCACTACACTCTCTACTCTCTGTTAGTGCACTACACTCTCTACTCTCTGTTAGTGCACTACACTCTCTACTCTCTGTTAGTGCACTACACTCTCTACTCTCTGTTAGTTCACTACACTCTACTCTGTTAGTTCACTACACTCTACTCTCTGTTAGTTCACTACACTCTACTCTCTGTTAGTGCACTACACTCTCTACTCTCTGTTAGTTCACTACACTCTCTACTCTCTGTTAGTGCACTACACTCTACTCTCTGTTAGTTCACTACACTCTCTACTCTCTCAGTGCACTACACTCTCTACTCTGTTAGTTCACTACACTCTCTACTCTCTCTGTTAGTGCACTACACTCTACTCTCTGTTAGTTCACTACACTCTCTACTCTCTGTTAGTGCACTACACTCTCTACTCTCTGTTAGTGCACTACACACTCTACTCTCTATTAGTTCACTACACTCTCTACTCTCTGTTAGTTCACTACACTCTCTACTCTCTGTTAGTTCACTACACTCTCTACTCTCAGTGCACTACACTCTCTACTCTCTCTGTTAGTTCACTACACTCTACTCTCTGTTGGCACACTGCACTCTCTACTCTCTGTTAGTGCACTACACTCTCTACTCTCTTGTTAGTGCACTACACTCTGTACTCTCTCGTTAGTGCACTATACTATATGTTGTTAGTACACTAAAGTTTCTGTTCTCTATTAGTTCACTACACCCTCGACTCACTTAGTGCACTACACTCTCTACTCTCGGTTAGTTCACTACACTCTACTCTCTGTTAGTTCACTACACTCTACTCTCTATTAGTTCACTACACTCTCTACTCTCTGTTAGTTCACTACACTCTACTCTCTGTTAGTTCACTACACTCTACTCTCTGTTGTACACTGCACTCTCTACTCTCTGTTGGTACACTCCACTCTCTACTCTCTGTTAGTGCACTGCACTCTCTACTCTCTGTTAGTGCACTACACTCTACTCTCTGTTAGTTCACTACACTCTACTCTCTATTAGTTCACTACACTCTACTCTCTGTTGGTACACTGCACTCTCTACTCTCTGTTAGTGCACTACACTCTCTACTCTCTGTTAGTTCACTACACTCTACTCTCTGTTAGTGCACTACACTCTCTACTCTCTGTTAGTGCACTACACTCTCTACTCTCTGTTAGTTCACTACACTCTCTACTCTGTTAGTTCACTACACTCTACTCTGTTAGTTCACTACACTCTACTCTCTGTTAGTGCACTACACTCTCTACTCTCTGTTAGTGCACTTCACTCTCTACTCTCTGTTAGTGCACTACACTCTCTACTCTCTGTTAGTGCACTACACTCTCTACTCTCTGTTAGTGCACTACACTCTCTACTCTCTGTTAGTTCACTACACTCTACTCTGTTAGTTCACTACACTCTACTCTCTGTTAGTTCACTACACTCTACTCTCTGTTAGTGCACTACACTCTACTCTCTATTAGTTCACTACACTCTCTACTCTCTGTTAGTGCACTACACTCTACTCTCTATTAGTTCACTACACTCTCTACTCTCTGTTAGTGCACTACACTCTACTCTCTATTAGTTCACTACACTCTCTACTCTCTGTTAGTGCACTACACTCTACTCTCTGTTAGTTCACTACACTCTCTACTCTCTCAGTTCACTACACTCTCTACTCTCTCAGTGCACTACACTCTCTACTCTCTGTTAGTTCACTACACTCTCTACTCTCTGTTAGTGCACTACACTCTCTACTCTCTCAGTGCACTACACTCTCTACTCTGTTAGTTCACTACACTCTCTACTCTCTCTGTTAGTGCACTACACTCTACTCTCTGTTAGTTCACTACACTCTCTACTCTCTGTTAGTTCACTACACTCTCTACTCTCTGTTAGTGCACTACACACTCTACTCTCTGTTAGTTCACTACACTCTCTACTCTCTGTTAGTTCACTACACTCTCTACTCTCTGTTAGTTCACTACACTCTCTACTCTCAGTGCACTACACTCTCTACTCTCTCTGTTAGTTCACTACACTCTACTCTCTGTTGGCACACTGCACTCTCTACTCTCTGTTAGTGCACTACACTCTCTACTCTCTCTGTTAGTGCACTACACTCTGTACTCTCTCTGTTAGTGCACTATACTATATGTTGTTAGTACACTAAAGTTTCTGTTCTCTATTAGTTCACTACACCCTCGACTCACTTAGTGCACTACACTCTCTACTCTCTGTTAGTTCACTACACTCTACTCTCTGTTAGTTCACTACACTCTACTCTCTATTAGTTCACTACACTCTCTACTCTCTGTTAGTTCACTACACTCTACTCTCTGTTAGTTCACTACACTCTACTCTCTGTTGGTACACTGCACTCTCTACTCTCTGTTGGTACACTCCACTCTCTACTCTCTGTTAGTGCACTGCACTCTCTACTCTCTGTTAGTGCACTACACTCTACTCTCTGTTAGTTCACTACACTCTACTCTCTATTAGTTCACTACACTCTACTCTCTGTTGGTACACTGCACTCTCTACTCTCTGTTAGTGCACTGCACTCTCTACTCTCTGTTAGTTCACTACACTCTACTCTCTGTTAGTGCACTACACTCTCTACTCTCTGTTAGTGCACTACACTCTCTACTCTCTGTTAGTGCACTACACTCTCTACTCTGTTAGTTCACTACACTCTCTACTCTGTTAGTTCACTACACTCTACTCTCTGTTAGTGCACTTCACTCTCTACTCTCTGTTAGTGCACTTCACTCTCTACTCTCTGTTAGTGCACTACACTCTCTACTCTCTGTTAGTTCACTACACTCTCTACTCTCTGTTAGTTCACTACACTCTACTCTGTTAGTTCACTACACTCTACTCTCTGTTAGTTCACTACACTCTACTCTCTGTTAGTGCACTACACTCTCTACTCTCTGTTAGTTCACTACACTCTCTACTCTCTGTTAGTGCACTACACTCTACTCTCTGTTAGTTCACTACACTCTCTACTCTCTCAGTGCACTACACTCTCTACTCTGTTAGTTCACTACACTCTCTACTCTCTCTGTTAGTGCACTACACTCTACTCTCTGTTAGTTCACTACACTCTCTACTCTCTGTTAGTGCACTACACTCTCTACTCTCTGTTAGTGCACTACACTCTCTACTCTCTGTTAGTTCACTACACTCTCTACTCTCTGTTAGTTCACTACACTCTCTACTCTCAGTGCACTACACTCTCTACTCTCTCCGTTAGTTCACTACACTCTACTCTCTGTTGGTACACTGCACTCTCTACTCTCTGTTAGTGCACTACACTCTCTACTCTCTCTGTTAGTGCACTACACTCTGTACTCTCTCTGTTAGTGCACTATACTATATGTTGTTAGTACACTAAAGTTTCTGTTCTCTATTAGTTCACTACACCCTCGACTCACTTAGTGCACTACACTCTCTACTCTCTGTGCACTACACCCTTGATTCTCTGTTACTGCATTGCAGTCTTTATTCTCTGTTAGTGCTTTTCACTCTGTACTCTCAGTTAGTTCACTACACTCTCTACTCTCTCTGTTAGTGCACTTCACTCTGTACTCTCTCTGTTAGTGCACTACACTCTGTACTCTCTCTGTTAGTGCACTTCACTCTGTACTCTCTCTGTTAGTGCACTTCACTCTGTACTCTCTCTGTTAGTGCACTTCACTCTGTACTCTCTCTGTTAGTGCACTACACTCT